ACTTGGAAGGTTGTTGGGTATGGGTGGGAAAAGTATTGAACAGGGTTTTTGGGGGGTGCGGGGGACGCAGGGAAGGACTGTTAGGGATCTTCCCCCATCAGACCCTGGCTGACCCCAGCTTCTCCCACTCAGTCAGACACATCTGCCCTGTCCCCATGTGTCCCTCCACCCCCACTCAGACACCCACTCCCCCATTCCCATGTGGCCCTGCACCTCCACTCCCATTAAGCCCCTGCCCCAGTCTGTCCTCCCCACACCAGCCCTTATGAGCCCCAGACCCCCAGCTGTCTGTCTTCCCATAGCCTGTCTCCTGACCTGGCCTGAGAGGTGCTGCGAAGAAGGTAGGCTCTTTTTCTTTCCTAGTTGGCTGTGAGCTGCTGCTCTGTTCTAGCGCCACAGCACCCTCTGGTGGGCAAGAGGCAGAACTGCAGCAACATTCCAGCAGAAGCTTTCTTCTGCGCAAAAAATTAAAAATATGAATGGCTCATTAATTATGTGCATGCCCAGTAGTGCAGAATTCCCCCAGGCGAATGTATTATATTTGTAGTACCGTGCTGCACAGGGGCCTCAACCGTGGCCCCATTGCACAAGGGGTTGTAAATGCATAGGGAGAAACAGGGCTTACAAGCTAAACAGACAATCAGCAGGAGGGGGAAGAGAGACACCCAGAGAGAAAGTGACCAGCAAGGCTACCCAGCAAAACAGGGGCAGGGCTGGGAACTGAACTTGAGTTCTGGTCTCAGGGCTAATGTTGCTCTCATAGCTGCTGTGAAGCTGTTACTGACCCAGAGCTGTTGTGATGAACTGGCTCAGTCAGAGGAGAAGGCTCCGGAGCCTTGTCCATATCTATTATATCAACTTGTTGTCGTAGAGCACCCGCTGGCAGCAAGCCATGAAGTAAGTGCATCTGCCCCCGTTTCCCTTTGGGCCAGCCATTAAAACAAGTACAGTCTCTCGCTGTCCGATACCAAGGCCTGCCCCCAGATGTAATTTATTCATTTATACGTTCAATAGTCCATAAAACCTTCCTGGTACAACCACTCGCCCGATTCACACCATAAAATATATAGAGGTCCCATGACTGTCCATTTCCCTCACCCATGAATCCCCCAACACTCGGTTCCTAGTTCTGTTCTGCCCTTGTTCTATAGTCCAAATAACCCTAATTCATGGTGCCCAAATACTCATCCTTAGCACTGAGAGGTGAGATTTCTGCTCAGCCACCTCTTCAGGCCACCACCTGACAGTGACCAGTCTCATGTCGCTTCTACTTAGATTCCAACAACTCAGCCCGTTGCAGCCTCCTAGCAGAGGCTCTACTTGGTAGGTCAGCTGGCTATCCCCTCTACCAGTCTCCTAGCCAATTCCTCCTCCTTCCCAGGGATTGCCTGCAGAGTGTTCCGCTCTCTGAAAACATCCACTCAACGTTCAGCATCAGTCAAAAAAAGCTAACCAAATGTTAGGAACCACTGGATAGATAATAAGACAGAAAATATCATAAATCCATGGTACATATGCCAGCACCTTGAATACTGTGTGCAGAGCTGGTCGCCTCATCTCAAAAAAGATATATTAGAATTGGAAAAGATACAGAGAAGGGCAACGACAATGATGAGGGGTATGAAACAGCTTCCATATGAGGAGAGATTAAAAAGACTGGGACTGTTCCGCTTGGAAAAGAAAGAGACGACTAAGGGGGGATTTGATAGAGGTCGATAAAATCACGACTGGTGCAGAGAAAGTAAATAGGGAAGTGTTATTTACTCCTTCACATAACATAAGAACCCAGGGTCACCCAATGAAATTAATAGGCAGCAGGTTTAAAAATAAACCAAAGGAAGTATTTCTTCAGACAATGCACAGTCAACCCATGGAACTCGTTGCCAGAGGATGTTGTGAAGGCCAAAACTATAACAGGGTTCAAAAAAGAACTAGATACATTCAAGGAGGGTAGGTCCATCAATGGCTACTAGCCAGGATGGGCAGGATGGTGTCCCTAGCCTCTGTTTGCCAGAAGCTGGGACTGGACGACAGGGGATGGATCATTTGGTGATGACCAGTTCTGTTCATTCCCTCTGGGACACCTGGCATTGGCCACTGTCAGAAGACAGGATACTGGGCTAGGTGGACCTTTGGTCTGACCTAGGATGGCCGTTCTTACATCCTAATGTTCCCTGCAGTCTGTCTCCCAGACAGCTCTCACCTGCCCCTTTCCTTGCCCCTCCAGTCTGTGCTCTCAGGCAGCTCTGACTCATCATGTCTCTTCTCTCTAGGCTCCAGCTGCCCTTTTAAGCCCAGTTGGGGGCAAGCTGACCAGTCACATGTGCAATGACTTCCTCCCACCCTCCTGTCCCAGTTTACTAATAAGTCCCCTTCTCAATCACCAACAGATTTCTCCCCTTGCATCCAGCATTTTAATCTCTTTTTGCGACAAACAGGTTCCTTAACTGAGCAGCCTGCTGCAAAATACTGTGACAAAATACTGTGGTATTAGCAGCATGTAGGATGGGCACCAAGTCTGCTCAAAGGCCACAGTGTCACTGTGACGAGGACAGAGACCCTCCAGCTCCACTAGCACAGGCCCCCGACCTTGGGGAAAGTCTCCATGAGCAGTACGGTTCTTATGACACACAGAGCAGTCTTAATTCCATCCAGCAGGGGGAAGTGGTACTGATACACACTAATCCATTCATCCCAAAACCTAGTCTAGTGGGCCCGCTTGCTGTTTCGAGTTTCATTTCAGATTTCCTAATTTTCCCAGCAAAGTGAGATCATCTCACCACCAGGGAGAGGCAAATCTACAGTTTGTTTCTTTTTCAGGCAAGGTAAACACTCTTCCTCCCAATGGTAGATAAAACCTCAATCCTGGATTGACCAATCAGATGCCATGTCATCCTCCCTGCAGAATTCTGGGTAACTGACTGACAAACAGACCCAGCTGGTCTCACTTTGCAAGTCTCCACTCTCAGCAAGAATGCGCCTTTTTAGGACAGGGAAACCGCCCAGGGAGCTACAGAGAAGTTTCTTAATCCCCTGTCAACTGCAGGGGAACAGATCTGTTCCCTGATTCATTTGCGGCTGAATAGAGATGGAGCTTTAACAAAGCCCTGGATGTGAATTAAAAGCCAGATTTTCATTTTGCAGATTGATGGCGCTTTACATTGGGCCAAAACAAATCCCCTGCTCTAGACACTCCTGAACTTTGACTGTTTGCCGACTTACAATTTTATCTTGAGTTATGACATTCCTGGATTCATGGGATTGCATGACAATTTCAGCTCACTCTTTTTTTAAAACAAGTTTCTTCCCCTCTGGCTGCAGAGAAGAGCTTGAAAACATGACCTAAGCACCCTGTGACACCCAGGCACCCCAATATTCACCAGTCATGTAATTAGGATATGTTTTATACAAAGTCTGCCTTGTGAGGTGTCATTCTAAAAGTCTTGATCTGCTAGACATTAATATCTCGTTGGATTGTATGTGCTATCGTCGTATGTGACGTTTTGAAGTTTGGCTATGTAAGTGTTACGGAAACATACTGTGAGGTTGAAAACACCCACAAGCAGCCTTTCCGGCGCAACAGTAAAAAGGCCAAACAATGTTAATGGCTTATTGAGGAAATTCACAAAAGCACAAGGATTACCTCAGGAACTGTGTACAATAGAAACCTCTCAGAGATAGCACTGCACAATGGGAACTGTTTGACCCAGGCCACAGCAACAGAGCTTTCCAGCCAGTGGGAAGGAGATACAAAAGGGGGACAATGACATCATGATGGTACCTCATTCTCCCTACAACACCACACCTGGAAACACCTGAGGAATAAAGACTGACCAGGGGGGAGTACTGGTCCCAGGCTAAGGGATTGCTAGCCTGAGCATGAAAACCTGGGAAAGCCAAGGCAGCTTGTGCCTTAAGAATCTGCCAGCCTGTTAAAAACACTCAGGGTGAGAATTTGTTACTTTATATCCTACCTATTTAGTATATTAAGTTTAAATTGCATTCTGTTTATTTGCTAGGTAATCCGCTTTGATCTGTTTGCTATCCCTTATAATCACTTAAAATCTATCTTTTGTAGTTAATAAACTTGTTTTTGTTTTGTCTAAAACCAGTGGGTGGAAATCATAACTGGGGGGGCAGAACGCTGTTGCATCTCTCTCTCCACATTGAGGGAGGAGGTGACTTTCATGAGCTTATGCCATACAGTTTCCTGTGAAGTGCAAGACGGTATAATTTTGGGTTTACACTTTGGGGGGGGGGGTGCCTTAGGAAGTGGGAGGAGCCTTAGCTGAGCCTTCCCATGCAGAGCTGATCTCAGCACCTGTGTGTGTAGCTGCAGCTGGGTGTGTCCCTGTGTGCTGGTGAAAGTGTGAGACCAGGAGCGTGTCTGCAGCTTGTCACAGCATTACAGGGTGAGTGGAAGCCCAGGCTGGTGGGTCAGGGGGCTCAGTGGTACCCAAGTTCCAGGCAGCACCCCGAGGGGGGGGAACCCATCACAAAACCCTTATAGCTCAGAAACCAAAGGCAAATAAAAAAGAACTCAAAATTCATTATTTAAAAAACCCTCATTATTTTTACACCAATCTCAAGATTTTTTTGGACCCAACTCATGAGACTTGAACACCCGAGGCTGGCAAGACTGTATCCAGATCTGAATGTTGCAGTGTGAGGCAGGGGCCATTGCTTCCCAGGTCTTCCAAGAACCATCTAGCAGACACTTGGGTAGCATAAAATGAAGAGCAAAGTTCCCTATTGTGGGACAAAGCACTGTACATTTTGCGGTTTAAAAATGCCTTATTGGCCAGGTGACTTACTTCCGCATTCCCTTCACTAAGCCTCGTGCACACATTTCACAGCACATTCAGACACTGTCACATCATGGCCACAAAAGGGGCCCTCGAATTTTGACAGGACACACTTGAAAAAAAGGCTTTTGACACACACCCACACACCCCACTCCTGGCTTTCGAAACCCAAAGATACAAGGATGATGGACTCACCTTTCCATTGGGACTTGCTTTCTTAAATACTCTGCAAAACAAGGAAGGGAAAGATTTGTTAGCAACAAGAGAAGAGAGATTTTGAAACCAGGGTGAACTTCACAGGGGCATGCAGTCGTACTGGCATAGCTAAACCGGAGGAGCCAAAACACAATATAGGCAAGCCCAGGGTTTATTTAGGCATCTATATATACGGATTTTGATATAATCTGTCTGTCTACCCCGTGCTTAACCCTGTAGTACCAGAGTCCCTAAAGTTTGCTCGAAGCTCCGATCAGCATTAGCTGATCTTTTAACTCCTTCTCCAAACTGGACAAAACCCAGTGGAGTGCAGTCATCACTCAAGCAAGCCACGCGCTGAAATCAGCGGCAGCGTGACTGTGAGTCTGTTTAAAGCCAGCGGTCGTCTCAAGGGTGGGGATGGGAGCAGAGACTGAATTCTGGCAGCACATTTTGCAGCTAACACTCACTATTTCGAGCTAACTAACAGGAGGCAGCAAGGTCTAGCAGAAGGGGTGCCAGGCTAGGGCTGGGGACACTCATGTTATAGTGCCAGCTCTGTGTGACCTTGGGCATATCGCTCCCCCTGTGCCTCAGTTTCCCTGTGTCAAAGGGTGGCCCCTCCTCTGGCAGACTCCAGCACCCCAAGGATGCCTGCCTCTGTCCCCTGTAGTCACCCACGCAAAGGAATACTGTCTCTCTCAGCAGAAAATTCAAAACCTTTTATTCACAAAGTGCCACAGTCAGCAGACCCCGTACGGAAAAATCAGCTCCTCCCCAAGGAAAACCCGGGCACAACACTGCAGCGCTTCACTGTGTAACCCCTCTGCCCCACTTCCTTTAGCTCCTCTGCCAGCGCCCCGCTCTCCACGCCTCCTACCTGAGACTTCCAGGACCCAATGTCTCCCCGTGAGCCTTCTCCTGCAGCCCACTCCCAGGCCTCCTCACTGGAGGGTCCTACCCCTGCTCTGGGGGATCCCCCTCCAGAGTTAATCCCTTGCTTCTAGGCCTAGCTTGCATTTGCCAAACTGGTTCTTCCCCTCATTCCCTGGGGCCCACTGCATGAGCCTTCCTGCGACATTCATTCAATCCCTCCCT